AGACTGCCGCCCACTGCCATCCCACCCGCGTGCTTCTGCCCTGTGGCTCATTGTACAGTTTTCGCCATCAGCTTCCCATCATTGGATGGACCTGATCCCGTATGACTAGACTGTTGTGGCTTTTTTCGTTCTTGTTTTTTCTTTAGCAGAATTCGAACCAACCGGCTTTTCCAGCCATGTGGAGAGTGTACCTGGTTCAACAATAGTTCCCGGTTGCAGAGATGAGCGGTTTGACAATTTCCCAAGTGACGGCGTTTGCAAAAATATAAGTACAGCACTCGCACTCTTTGTCACCAAATCACAGCAGGTAACCCACAGATACCTACACCAGGTATGTCAAGACATGAATCACAGGCAGTCGAGCAAGGATCCAGGCCTTTCCAAGTTTACTACGACCTACTGCGATACAGAGTGTACACTGCTGGTAACCATGCCTGTGCACCGCCTGTGCAGTGCATTCACCGTTTTGCCTTGAGATACGCAATAGGTCGGTGAGTCACCCAGGTATGAGCGATAGTGTCGGATCAGTCCCAAGACTGTGGGACTGGCAGTGAGGGCATGCGGCAAGACCGTTCCAGTTTCCAGCTCGTCAGCACTGTACACTAAGAATGTCATAGCAGGTCGTGGCGACAAGTCAAGTCTCCAGTGAGACAGGCCCTTTTGTCGAAGCAGTAATGGAGGGTGGGATTGATTTTCTCTTGTCCCCATCCAACTCAGTGGCCCAACATACAGTCCATTCGCTGGCGTGCCTCGGTTGGGGCATTCCTTGGCTTGGCCTCGTTGCCCTGGCCACTGGCTGCCCTGACCCTTGACACGGGTATGAAGTCACTGCTTTGCCGTACTAGGCCCATTATGAGATGGCCACCAGCCGATCCCATGTAGCGTGCTACTGTGTACCGATGATGTACAGTTGTATACGCTACTGTGAGAGGGAGCGTGCTGTGTGCCTCTTTCACGATAACGGAATCCTTCCCACTTACGTATCAGTGTTCCCGTATCACAGAGATGCAACGTCTCGCTCGGTTGGATAAATAAATCTAGAATGGAGGCTTATATAGTCTCCGAAAAAGACAAAATGCAAACAAGACAAAAGCTACTGGCAGGACACTACTTATGTCCATTTATCGAAACGCAAGCAACTGGGGCTTAGCTGAGCCAGGACCAGCAAGCCACATCGGAAACTAGAAAACCATCGCATCCAGTCATAGGAGGCTACATGCAAACGAAAGTAGGTATGATGAAGGGCGTTGCCGGGTCTTGACCCAGACCAACCCTCAATCTCGGTTCCGCGGTCGGGGCGCAAGTTCGTCTGGATATGGATTTGCCGAGGAAGCAACTACATAAGCAAGCCAGCCAGCGAAGCAAATGCCCTCTTCCAAGAGCACTTTCGGTATTTGCTTTCGTCAGCAACGGAGAAACCGCCGAGGATTTCCTTCCAGGCAAGCGACAAGGCGGAGTGTGCGAAAGCCCTCTGAGGGGGCCAGGGACAACGTAATAGGTATCTCAACATACCCCGCGTCCGCAAGGTAGCGCGTGCGCTAGACTAGTCTGGATGCTACGGTACACACACATCGTAAACATCATTATCGGGCCACCACTTGTGCGGCCAGATAGGTAGGTAGGTAGGTAGGTAGGGTAGAACTCCCTGTGCTGTGCTGTGCGATGCGGTGTGATGCGCCGCAGTTCGTCTAGCGTTGCCTTTGCCCAAGCGTCCTACTGTAATTATCTGCATACCACGCTGCCCTGCCCAGTCAGAAAACCCCTTCGGCTTTCTGTGATAGGAAACCCTTCATTTCACACTTACATACAATCCACTCGCTACCTACTTAGCAGTAAGTATTGGTAGAAGAGAGGTTTGGATTGCATACCTCGCTATCTTACCACAGAGGTAGTAGACGTCTCTCTATTGTAGGTTAGGTATATTCTTAATTATTATACCCTCTGTCCTTGTGCCAGCCATATTTAGATACTCCAAGCGGGAATAGGGATCATCCGTCGGTACCTACGCTGCGCATAATGCAGAATCTCTCATCTACACTACTACGATGGGCTGTGGCTAAGTGGATTAATTACGCACAATAATTCTCCCTAGTATTAGATATGCATACCTGTCTGTATATGCTATGCTACACCACTTCGTCCACCTATCGCGCAAGGAGTGGAATTCGATCAGTTAGTTAGTTACCCACCCCACGGAGGCAATGATACCTACCTACTTACTTATCCATCTAGTGTGAAGTGCAGGCTGGTGGGTATCGAAATGTACCAAACCACGCAAACCCTTGGGCTGGTAAATACCTACCTACACTACCTACCTACCAGCTAAAATTATAAACACGGGGAAATGGGATAAGGGAGCCGAGGGGGAAATTGGGGTACGGGATTCAAGCGAGAGGAATGTAGTAATACATACATACCATACCATACTAATAAACAATATAATGGCATACATATTACATACATACATACATACATACACTACGGCTGCACCCCGTGCCCCCCGTGCCCATCTCATCTCATCTCATCTACCTACCTCCCCCACAGTCCATATCTATCTCACGACAACCGCATGCCTATAAAGCACCCGGCGTCTCCTATATGTATTCAGCCAGCAGACCCGCAGCTGCAACTACCTAGGTACCTAGAAGCTTCTGCGAAGTTCACGGTTCTCCTCGGGGATATATTGTCGTGGACCAGACAGGGCAGCATCGACTTACCTTAGCCAGGAAGAAGGACGTGTTGTGCTCGTCATTCAAGCAATAGACTCAGCTATGTAGTCGTTAGTAGTGATGATTAGTAAATGGATAGGTAGGTAAGGTAGATAAGTAGATAGATATATTAATATCATCGTCGCCTTATTCCACTCGCTTTCTCCAGTTTGGGAAGGGTATCAATCAGCGCGTTCTACCAAAGCAACCGCAAAAGCCCTTTCTTCCTAGCTTCGACCTCTTCGGCTAGCTAACACATGACGTTGTGGCACATCTAAACACGATATAAAAACCATGGCAATTTTCCCCTATTGGCCCAGAACGGCGCGACGGAACGGACCGGTAGTCTTTCCAGTAACGTACGTAGACAGACGCGCTAAGCCAGACAGATGTCCATGCCTCTTTCTCTACATCTAGCTTCTTTCTTGCTCTTTCGTCCGAGACTTTATAGAAAACTCAAGGGTATATCAGATTCCACGATTAAACACGACCATGCCGCCCTCTCCTCCACGACCATGGAACTCGGCCTCGAGACTCTCGGCGCTGATCTTCTGGCGCTGCGGGAACGCCGCAAGAGCGAGGGGGAGCGCAATGTAGCTCATGCCGAGAATCAAGCCTAGGTTCACTGGGAGGGTGAGGCGCGGGTTAGTGCGCAGCCACTGGGTGCGCTGGAGCCGGACGAGGATGAGCGGCGGCACGACCATGATAGGGGTGCTATTGAGAACACGACTCAGTGCCGTCTCGCCCACGGCTACCGTTGCGGCCCTGCGGCTCTTGCCCAGCGAGGCCACGTCGCTCTCCGGCCTGCCCTCAGCCGCCAGCTTTGCCTTGTCGGCGGCGGACAAGACCGGGTACACGTCGATGCCGACGCGCATCTCCTCGCCGCGCATGAGCAATACGTTGAGGAACCCGGCCGACGCGACAGCGGCGAACGGCACGAGGCGGCCGAGGATCAGCTTTGTCGAGGGCGTCACGCGCTTGAGGCGCGGGACAAGCGCGTTCAGCCCCACGGCGACGGAACACGAGGCGCCGACGGCGAGGAGGTAGGACTGCGCGAGCTTCGAGTACGAGAGCGGCGTCGATTTGTTCGCGTTGGCGTTGTTTATGGCGACGTTGAGGGACTGGTTCGCGACTTGCCAGAGGACGGTGCCGGTGTTCTGCGCCGTGCGACGAGGTTAGCTTGGGCTCTGCTTGACACGCGTCCGGGTTGCTTTTGGGGAGAGACGGAGAATCGGCCGTCTCGAGGGGAGCGCGTACCGACAGACCCGGCGTAAGCATTCCTGCTGTGACGACCAGGTTCGAGAGGGCGAAGCATGACATGCGGAAGGGCAGCAAGACGGGCTTGCCGGTCTCTAATCGCATCGCATCCAATTAGCCAAGTCCAGCGTCGCAGACGGAGCCGCGGGAGAGAGAGGGGCGTGGGGTCGTGGCGGTACCAGGATGCAGTGTCGAGTCGACAATCTTCTTCGCCTTCCAGAGCTCGGGCGTCATCTCGTCGACCTCGCCCTGCTTGTATGCCATGACCAGCTTTTTCGCGTCTTCGAGGCCGCTCTTCCCCGCCGCGAGAGTCCTACCAGGAGCCGAGATGGGTCAGCAACAGGCCAGAAAAGGACGATTGTCGGACCGGGGAAAACTGAAAACTCACCTCGGGTCGGTGATGCTGGCTGTATGGCGCACGCGGCCCCAGTACGTGCTCAGGTCGTACTGCGACTCGGGCAGCTCCCGATTGCCAGGCAGGGAGGCGGACATGGTGAGATTGTGTCGAACTGCCCTCGCCGAGCACTCCTGCGACTGCTGCTCTGCGAGAAATGCTGCTGTGTCGCCACGGGGGCGCAGTTGGTCGTGGCAGCGAGAGATCGGGGAAGGCTGAGGCACGGACAGCGCACAGCACGCGACTTGTCATTGGTGGTGGTGGAGGAGGTTTTGCTGGGACCGGCCGAGATCGGGGCCGACCCACTATCCCAATCCACAGGCTGACCCCCACTAACCGCCGCTATCCGTCCGCACCATGATAGCCGAAGGGGTCGCACACAGCCGCTGCTGATGCTACACTCGGTACCTACAGTATGGGAGAGTTATGACTGTGTGGGACGAAATTTGGCAAAACTCGGAAAGTTCGCGTTATTACCAGAGTAATTGTGTAGGGCAGCCTCGCCCTGTCATGCCTCTGATGACCTAACAGCGGTCCACAATGGCCCACACTCATATCAGCAAGAAGTAAAAATCAAGAAACGCAACAACAACAACCACCATGTCGTATATGTCATCGAATGCATATGCAAAACTAAATGACGACTTCGGCCGGACTCGAACCGACAATCTCTAGAGTATCTAACAGGTACCGAAATCTAGCGCCCTAGCCATTAGGCCACGAAGCCGTGTATTGCATGAGGCTCGACAAGTGAAGCATAACAATCCGAGATCATCTCACCGAATTCAGAGACAACCGTGATAGGTTTCGCCACGACAGGATGAGTAGACTGATAAATCAGAAGGTACTGGAAGGAATTGGCATATAAGCGTTAAAGAGCAGTTATACACATCTAGTTTTATATCATTGGGACTGGCCGTAGCGATGCCCAAGACGGCGGAATGGTCATCTGCGATCTGTCCCATCAATCAGACAAGTGCTCTCAAGTAATACTATCCTAATCCCTCCCAGTCAGCTTGCAAAGTACATCTTGCCCGTTTAATAGAAGCTACATATCTAAAAAGTGTACTCGCGATCCACACAAACAGTTGTGATATCGCCGAGTACCGGCAAACCTTCCTCTGCACCCCGAAATGGCTGTGCGTTTGTGGTTCGTGTCGAATAAGGCAGCCTTGAGTACACGACTCACGGCGTCCCCCAAAATAAGCAAAGCGACCCTGGGTGCTTGATGAGCGTTCCGAAAAAGGCCACACCTGCAATGGACTTGTGAAGTAGTTGATAACGATCAGTGTTGTAAACTTTGTTGCTTGTCTAAAAAGATGCACCGCGGTTATGAATAATGATTACCATTATCGTGGATAATACTATGACAACGGCTTACCTGCTTAAATACAACCTCACTAAGACTTTGACAGACGAAGAGAATCGGCCTATCCTGTTCCGCTCCATGAACTCGTTCTGATCAAGGATATATCGATACGATTCGATGCACGCACTGATAAGCCAGACGTTGTTTCAACACGGGCTTCACGTAAATAATCAATACTTCTACATCAGTCTCGCCTCGGTCTATATACGCATAGCTTCGAACAAGTCTGTGCTACTGTGTGCCTACTTAGGCAGCAAGGAGCAACTATTCCAGACAGCATTTGTTTCCCCAATGATATGCGATTCGCCACTCAATGGCACCCGATTCGCCAGCGCGACATTGTGGTAGGCCCATCGACTCCTCATCGTGAAGGATCTGATTTTATTCATAGAGCTTTCGGGATTCTCTCCACCACCCTCACGGGGAGACCGTCCTTGATCCCCTGCAGAGAGGCACGCCATCAGCATTCATCGCTTGGCCGGCCGAAGGGAGAAACAAAAGACGTACCATGTTTAGGGCCGCAAGCGGCTCGTATGTCCTGGTATCGTCGGATAGGATGACATCGAACCGTTGGAGAATACTCGTGCTAATGGCGAGACCCTCGTACGTAGCAAGCGCACGTCCGAGACAGCTGCGCGGCCCGGCATTCCAGGAGTGGTATTCTACAACAACGAGGATTCAGCCAATCCGGTAACTTCATCATGTCCCTCTGTCAAGGGGTTGGTGGCCGGCGACTCACTGAAAGGACTGTAGGAGATGCTCTCGCCGTTCTCTTGCAACCATCGAGACGGGTTGAAAACGGCGGCGTCTTCTCCCCAGACTTCCGGCATCCGGGCAAGAACGTAGTTTTGATAGCTGACGATGTCGCCTCTGTTTTTGGGAATCAGTTGCGATTCACCCATACGTTGTCACGATGGGGACATTAGCCTACTTCTTGACATGGCGAGGAGGCATGTTGAGCTCGGGCACAGCAGGGAGTATGTCGTTCTCGGCTGCCTCCATCTGGCCAGCAGGGGAGACGGTGTCAAGGCGAGCGGTCTCGTTCCACATGGCATTGGCAAATCGCATTTTCTTCCATGATAAGAAAATCAGCCTGATCAATTTCAGAACTTTAACCTAACCTTTGGTGGTGAACATACCGGCGCGTCCCCATAGGTGAGGTAGCTATTGGTGAGACCAAGCCCCTCGGCCTCGTCTCGAATCTTGTTGACAGCGTCAAGATGTCGGTTGTCTTTATGGAGAATCTCCTTCATGAGCCACGAGGTGGAGAACGCAGTCGTGTCGCCTGCATGTGCCGGACAATCTATTAGTGGGTGGCCCTAAGTTGGCATGTCTCATTCTAACTCACGACCAGCTGATAGAAAGGAGAATATCATCCCGCCCAGTGTGTACTGATCGGTTGTTGACTGCAAGAAGAGGTCGAGGAGGTCCACGCCAGCATCAGGGCTGGGCTTGCAGTCATCCACCATCGTTTCCAGTCGCTTCTTGATCAGACCGTCGATCTGTCTATAGAAGAGGTCGACGGCTCTCTTGGAGATCTTATCTTCTCCAGAAAGCTTCTCGGTGATTCTCCATAAAGGGTCGCGCCTGCGTCGGTCGAACACTGCAACACGATAACATTAGACGTTGCTAGGGGGGTTTCAGGTGCGACTGGGAGAGAAACGCACAGTGGCTGGCCTGGTCGAATGCTTCGACGTAGTCGGGTATGGTCTCGAGGCTCTTGGGGCTCTCGGACAAAACATCCAAGGCGAGTTTATCCTCGTGAAGAGCAATTCGAAGGAAGAGACAGAACATGAAGCGTCCCATCAGTCCCTGGAAATCGAATTCCTTCTGCTCTTTGGCCAGGTTGGATAACAGGCGCATCAAGATGTCAAGCCAGTGGTGAAGGGATTGGGTGATGTGAGTCTCGAAGTTGTGCTTGCTAAACGCTCGGCTCGCCGCCTTGCGCTGCAGATGCCATTCTTTGCCGTCGGCGACGAAGATGCCGGTTCTGTGGAGCGCTCCAAGGACGTTGCGGGTGAATGCGCCGCGTACGTAGTTCTTGCTGTTGTACTTCTGAATATGCTCGAGGTATGTGGGGTGGTTGATAACATGCAGACGGAAGAAAGGAATTGTCATCTCGTAGGCAGGCCCATACCGCCGGTAGAGGGAAAACCAGGCCTTACAGCTAGCAGCGCCGTTTGTTTGTAAATCCCGAACATTGCCAATGAAGGGCTTCCCCTTTGGACCGGGTATGCACTCCAAGTTGGCGGACGACGACGACCAGAAGCCCCTGGCGCGGTATGTCCAACAGATCCCTGGGATGATAGTCAGCACTTGATGCGGTTAAGTCTTGCTCCCCAGAACTTCCAAAAGACTTACCCATGGCCGCAAGGAGAAGAAGGAGAACACCATAACTAAGTACTGCTGTCAGAGATGGCTCTCGGAGCAGCACGGCGGACTTGTGCAGAGTTGCCATGTCGATGGTGATGGGCTTTGTCATCAATGGGTTGTTAAAAGTTACTTCAAAGCCGTCAAATCCATAAATGTAGTCAAAACTTGAGACCTTTATATTCCAAAGACAAGCAAATACATGGAGCGCCGATGTCTAGACCTCTCCATTCCCACCCCTTTCCCCGGGATCCTATAGGAGCTGCAGCGAGTTCAGTTGACATAGTCGGTCACCATCGCTCTGAAAGTCGGAGCGCGATGTGCACTACCTGGGTGCTGTGGTGCAGCAGAACTCCGAACTTCGAAGGGATGGGCTTGTCTGGAGCAATTCGACTATGGCGATCTTCCGCTTCCGCTTCCGACTCCGCTTCCGACTCCGACTCCTCTGCCGTCGATAGCACCACCACATCCAATGGGAATGAATGGCCAGTGGACCAGTCGGAAGCGGAGTCGGAGTCGGTTCTGACATCATGAAATTAATGGTGAGTGCGCGCGAGCGAGCTACAAGATCTGGCCTCTGGTGAAGTCATGCGGTTGTGCTTCAGGAGGAGCCCATTTCAAATATGGGGTATGGGGTAGTTCGATGGGGTAGAAAGGGGACTTGGTGGGATTTACCCAATACGGTAGGCTAATACTGATAAATAGAGCATGTCAAGGAACTGGGCGGTCGTCGGATGACTTCTCCAATCGATTGTAAATTCGAGCCTCCGAATCCCCCGCCTCCGGTCTACCAAACCAAGTGCCCGCACCTAGGCCGGTATTTACCCAAGCTATGCAGCGACCCAAAGGGAAGCAAGCCTGTCAGCACTGCAGAAGACACAAAAAACGATGCTCGGCGTCGAGACCTTGTACGCACTGCGCCCGGCTGGGAAAAGATTGTACGGAACAGCCCCAAAATAGGCGCCACCACGTAAGTACTAAGAAGCGTACCTACATTTCTACAATGCAGATCATAGGGGCGGGGGGTTTTTTTTTAACTCGTTAGTTGTAATATGTTTATTTGCCTAAGCTAAGCCGAGCGTCCAAGTCCATGAGCACAGTTACCAATGCCCCTCATGGCGGCCGCGAATGCGACCGGCCGATACACTTAGCTGACCCTCTGGTGCAAGCGGACACAGAAGGCGGGAGCCAGTGTAATCCTTTGGCCAACACGAATGCTGTCGGTGTCGGCTCGACTTCAGCACACAGTGGCTTGCTGGCTCAGGGTCCAACGCCGTGGTCAGAAGACCTAGCCGGCAATCCGCTTGAACCAACTTCCCCTTATTCATGGATACACAGGGCCGCATCCCGGTTGGGCTGGGCAAGGAGAGATTTGCCCCGGACCCCTTCACATGACGTCTCTCTACCTTCAGGCATATTCTCGTACGGCGATGCTAGTGTTGTTGGCCCTCCCAACGATATAGGAGCTCTGGGCCTCGGCGGTGTTTCGTGGCCAAGTCTTCGCTTATTATTTGATGCATACTTCGAGAGGGCGATGGTAACGTACTGGTTCTTACATATGCCGTCGGTTGAGAAGTGGTTGCAAAAACTCCATCAGCACGGCGAAGTAGGGTTATCGCGACACGCCATTTGTTTGATGGTGTTGGCCCATGGCGCTCTATATCTCGGCCAGTCCGAGGTGGATACATTGAGAGTCGATGAAAGGGTTCTCCTGTCCCCCGAAACACTTTATGAGGCAGGAGTGATGCGCCTTAGCCAGGAGAAAGGTGCCCCGACAGTCGAGTCCGTCCAGGCTCGTCTCGTCCAGGTACATCATCTTCTCAGCTCCTCGCGACCGAACCAAGCGTGGTACACATTTGGATCCGTGGTACAGCTTACCCTCGCGCTGGGCTTGCATCGAGATCACGACACGTCGAGTTATCGTTCCCACATCACTAAGCTCGAGCTCGAGCTCGGCAGACGCACATTTTGGTCAGTCTACGCCACGG